ACACAGCGCGTCTCGACGCGCAAACTTTGGGCATAAGAGAAGAAGATGATGAAGAGGGAGAAGGAGAGAAGCTGGGAGAGGTAGGCGAGGGTGATCAGAGGAAGTGATCGATGTCGGGATTGAGAGGGGGCGGAATAGGTGGAAGAAAAGCAGCCATTGCCGCAGGAGTCGTCGGCGCATGGTGCTGGACGAACGAGAGATAGAGGAAGGCCCCCGGCACATGAGACAGGACACGTGGCGCCAGATCCACCGCGCAGGCCGGGCAATTCTGAACGGTGTATTTCACATCTTCCCGAATTCCCGACCAGTACCATCCATTCTTTTCGATGGCTTTTTCCGTGCACTTGACCACGAAATGGACCGCATCCTCTTCATAAGCGGCTCGTGTCCAATCGAACCTAGCGAAAGGGTGCGGAAACGTCAACCAGCTAGTCCCTCCGTCATCATCGACTTTCCGTTTTTGTAACGTCGGTCCCTGCCAGCGATAGTCCTGCGCCCACTCCGTGACTCTCCGCCGCTCGGCTTTGGTAAGTTCTGAGAGCGAGTCGCCTGACAGCCTCCGTAGCAACAGAAGGTCTGTCCAGACTTCCGCCCGGCGGACACTTGGCACATATCCGTCAGTTGTTCGTGCATCCAGATACTGTTTCTCGGTAGGGACTTGGTCCGTTCTACAGTTGGGACAGACCCACGTCTTTTCACTTCGGTACCTAACGCATTGTCCGTGGGACTTCACCGCTTGACACCGACTACACTGCACCCAAAAAAGAAAACTGGGCCCGTGTTGCTCTAACTTTCGTACCTACTAAGGCCACCGACTTGTACTCCCGCGGCCATCTGGAGAGGAGCTCAAGATGTATGAGCTCCAACAATCCCGGATCGATCGTCTGGAGCTGGGCGAATGGGTACAGTGCCACCGTCCCTTCCTTCTCCACTGGCTTGGGCCGTGTGATGACGTAGTAGACGACGAAGTGCTCCCCGATGCAGTGGTCTTCGTGATCCACGAAGAACCGGAACATCCCCAGTGCCACCGACTAGTACAACGCACGGTGCAACTCCCACGCATCTTCGTCGGCGAAGGGCAGCGGCTCCACATCAGTAAGTTCCACCAAATACTCCGAGAACGCGCGCATGGGATACGTGATCTTATATCGACCTTTCTAAGTACGCTCGGACTAGAGCTAAACAAAGAAATTAAGATATCACATATTGATTCCGGATTCTTCTTCCTAGGTACCCAAATATCGCGTGGTAAAAGCAGAAGGTACGAAAGAAGGAAAAGATTGGTGTTGCATGCACCCATCAGGAAACTGTTAAGTACACTGCGAGAACAGGGATTTTTGAAAGGAGACTTTATACCCACGGCAAAACGTGGAATAGTCCCCATRGATCATGCTGACATATTAAGATTCTACAATCAGAGAATACTCGGAATTCTGAATTACTACTCTTTCGTGGACAATCGATCATCATTATGGTCGATAGTTCACTTAATGAAGGAATCTTGTCAATGAAGAAGGGAGGCATTTAGTACGGGACAGGGGGAATAGCTTGGAAGTTGAGAGGAGCAGCGGGAGGAAGAAGCGCGGGGAGTTGTGGCACCAATGCAATGGGTCCGTCCTCTGCCCTGCACAGCAGCACTTCGTGGGCTGTGAATCGGTGCCCCCCCCGTCCTTGCAATCTGGCCACTGATCTGGCCGCTTCCACCGCGTATTCGCGCACAAAACTTTGCGCCGGCTCCTGATTCGGTTGCGGTAGGATCGTCAAGTCGCCGATAAAGGTGGCGACGCTGTGCACGAAGTTGCGTGCCACCTGGAGCGCGCGAAACTCAATGAAGACTCGAGTCGTCTCCCGACCAGGCAACTGCGTCACGTCCACGTACACCCCCGCATACGTCAGCCGATCGCAAAGCAGCGAGTACGCCGCCAAATCAGCAACCCCAGGCGCTGGCACGTTCACCTGCTGAATGTCGTACCGCAACTGCCTTTCCTCATTGAACCGATGCCGCAACAAGCGATCTGCAAGCGGCGTCTGGAAATGCTCGAGGGCCTCATGCTCCGGCTGGCGATGGTTCATCCTGCTCCCTGAAACTCTCAGCACCAATGGATGAGGCAGATCGGGAAGAGGAGGAGGAGGAAGAAGGAGAGGGTGATCTCACCGGAACGGGAGCCCGTAGGGGACCTAGCGATGGCTGGAAGGGCCGGAGCGCGGCAGCGTGCCGTGTCAACGGTCAGGCCTGGGAGTTGTAACGGGGACTCAGCTTCACGGAGTGCTGTCCCTGTGCGCCAACTTCCGTGACCTCGTAAATGCCTGTGTAGCGCTGGTGGATCTTGGAGGAGCGTGCAGATTTCCGTACCTGCACCAAGTCCCCAACTTTATAGCGGGGCAGTGGTCCCGCCGACGCGTGTCGATTCTCGTAGTCACGGATCTGCCGTTGATGTGTCCGATCTACGGCCTGCTGTCGACGGCGAGCTAACGGGGG